TATGTATTTTTAAACTACAGGCTTTTAAAGCTTAGGTATTATTTATTTATCTGTAAAAGAGGAAAATGAAATGAAAGTCTTCCATGTATTGGAGGGAAGTGAAATTTTTAAAACTCTTAAAATTAGACCAGTGATTTTTTTTCTTTAAGCTACTGACCACGGCAAGGGGTAGAGACATGGTCTCACTCTTGGGTGTGCATTTAATGTGTTGACCATTTCTGGTCTGACTATGTTGTCTGACAGGCTCTCCTGAGCACCTAGGTATTGTGGGCAGACCTGGTTCAAATCCCGATTCTGCCACTGACCTCAGCCAGTGCTTGAAGAGGCCACAGCGCTCTCGTTACAGCAGCCACACAGACTACAGGGGAGCTGTGCTCTATTCTATGGAACAAAGTGTGGCCTGACTGTGGAATGAAAAGCCGAATCTTAAAAAAAAGAGTGCAGTCAAGGCATGTAAGAGTCCCTGCTATTAAAAAAATGTGTTACTCACCATGTTTCATGCCAGCGTTGGACTTGGTGGTTCCGGGATGGAAGGTGATCCCACCGTAGGTCGGGAATCCATAGTGTGGGAAGCTGTACCCTGAACCGGCAAGATAAAACAAATGGCGCTGTGGGTGCCTTCCAGCCAAGGTCTGACAGGCCCTAGTGTCTTCCTTGGGCTGAGAGTTAGGAAGACATGCTGAGGGGACACAGGATGACCAGAGGTCCACACCAGCAGAGCTAAACCAAGGCAAGTCAGGGGGCGCCCAAGCCCAGCAGTGGGGAGCTACAGCTGAGGTCTCTGGGTCCCAGGCCAAGGGATGAGCTCTCAGGAGGATGCACCCTATCTCAGCCTGGCCTGAGGAGAAGAGAAAATCACCCTGCAGGAAGAAAACCAAGGTGACCCAGGAAACCACAGTGGTGCCCATGGAAAGATGGCCACTGGGTTCTCCTCACACGCCTCGGGGACAGGATGACCGGGATGGTCTCTGGACGCAGCCAGTACCAGCCATCCTACCCTCCGATGTGGTCATTTTATTTATTTTTATTTTGCAGAACCGGGGATTGAACTCAGGTCCTTGCGCTTGCCAGGGAAGCACTTATTCCACTGAGCCATCTCCCCAGCCCCTGATGTGGTCATTTTACTCAGACAGAGAAGACAGGATGCTACTTTCGGATCAGCCAGACTAAGGTTTTCCTTTTTGATGAATTACTGAGTCATTAAAATGGTGCTGGTAAATCACCCTGGGCAGAGTCATCACCAGGAGTGCCCATGTTAGCACCAGGGCGGGGGGGCATTCAGGACAATGCACACATCAGGGGCAATGACATGAGCTGCTAACAGAAACAAGTGAGTAAAGATCTCGTGTGACCATCGCAGCTGTGCTCAGGAGAAATTTGTAAATATTTACTGTGACATACACATAAAAATGGGAAACGGTTTACCTCTGATGGCAGGACTTGATGCTTTGAAATTTTCTGTATCCCAGTAAGTACACAGACTACAATCCAGTGTAATATATGTGTATAAGGTAGAGGTGTGTGTGTGTGTGTGTGTGTGTGTGTGTGTGCGTGCGCGCTCACGCATGCGCCTGTGTATCTTTTCAATATTTCCTAATAGTATCAATAAAATTGCCCCTCCAATAAAGCAGAGGGCAAATATACCAATGCACTTATTTAGAGGCAGGGTCTCACTCTATAGCCCATGCTGTCCTTGAATTTGCAGCTATCCTCCTGTCTCAGCCTCCTGAGTCCTGGGATTACAAGTGAGTACTACCAGGCCCATCTATACCAAAATATTTAGAGAAGTGTTCCTTGGATAACAGGCCTTGGGGGGCCTTTCCCCTTCTTCATCTGTGTGCCCTCTTCCCCACCAGGCCTGGGCCCAAAGACCTCTGGGGACACCTGGAGCCAGGAGCAGGCCACACTCTGTGTGCTCCACTTTTCCTATACTGTACACATGCTCTTACAATAAAGTTGAACTTGTAAATTAGGAACAGTAAAATATCTAATAATAATAAAACAGAACAATCATAATGATATACTGTGACATGAGTTATATGGCCATCATTTCTAAGGAGTCAAGGCAACTACTGGGATTTTTAGACTGAAGTTGACCACGGGTAACAGAAGCCACCAAAAGTGATCTGCGGAGAGAGGTGGGTACTTGTTGTAGAATGAAGATGCATGTCTTTGAAAAACAAAGGTATGTGTAGGGAGGTTTTAATTAGTTTGAAGCTTCACATTCTTTTTGTTTTTTTTTCTTTTTTGAGACAGGGTCTCATATGTAGTTCAGGCTGGCCCTGAACTCACTGTGTACCCCAGGCTGGCCTCCAACTTGCAGCGATCCTTCCTCGCTGCCTCAGGCCAACACCACCAAGCCCAGCAAGGCCTTACATTTCATGGTATCACAGCCACTGCACCCACAGATGGGCCAGAAGGTCCCAAACAGGAGAAAGATGCCCTGCCCACCCCAGAGGAGCTCTGGAGGGCACAGCCTCTCTGAGTACCTGGTCCAGCGCTGCCAGTGCCTCCTGTTCCACCACCACCACCAAACATGCTTCCGCCTCCTGTGCCCGCACTGCCACTGCCACCACCGCCGCCGAAGCTGTCTGAGAAGTTGGGCATCAGCTTCTGCCGCTTCCGCTGCACTTCCTCTTTATCTGTGTGCACAGGAAGGGGAATTGGAGGAAAGATCCAGTTGGTTACAGGAGCTTCCACGCACAGGCTACCAATTCTCAGGGTATTGTACATCACAAAGGGAAACAGAAAGCATGCAAGGAGGAAGAGAGGCCACAGTGATTCTGACTCTGGGTCTGAGGCTGTAGCATTCTGCACACATAAAGTGAGAAACGGTTTACCTCTGATGGCTGGACTTGATGCTTTGAAAATTTCTGTATCTCAGTAAGTACACAGACTGCAGTCTAGTGTAATATATGTGTGTAAGGTAGAGAGGTGTGTGTGGAGGAAGGGTGAGGTCAGGCTGCCACCACAGATCCAGGCTCCGGAGATGCAGAATAGAAAGGTAACATTACTGATACTTGGTCACACAAAACCCCTCTTCCAAGTTGGCTGATACTTCCTGAGCATCCACAGGGAGCCATATGGCAGGGACAAAGAATTATGACACACTGGCTGCATGGTAACAGGGCAAAGGCATGGTGCCGATTCATGGACCAGCAGCAGCATAGGAGTAGGTGTTGGCAGGGAACAGGTAGTGGAGGAGAGAGGCTGGATGGTGCTGGTTTGCAGAGGTGAAGGATGACAGGAAGCAGAGGTGAGAGGTGCCCGGGGTGGAATGAGCTCAGCAGAGATCATGTGGGCAAAGCGAAGGTGAGTGCGGAGAAGTCCTGAGTGGTGACCTGGGTTACCCTAGGGAGCGCATGGCTTCAGTGTTCCACCAAGAGCTCCCGATCATCCCAGTCACCAGAGTGGCATGCACAACTGGTCACCTATGCTCAGGACCTGCCAACGAGCTGGTACAAGGCAGGAAGTACTGACAGCTGGTGCTGGCCTTATGGTCTGAACAGTCACCACAAGGGAGACGCATGGACCCCAGACACTCAAGGAGAGATGGACCTGGGGCCCCATGCCTGACTTCTGTCACCGCCTCTGTGGTCTGCTGCACATTCCTACTTCTTCCTGTTTCTCTTTCTTTTTTGTTTGTGATTTTCCTACCCTATGTTCCATTTTTCTGCCTTTCCTCTTTTGGGTGAAGGAGTTTTTTTGTTTGCACTGAACAGTCAATGTGGCATTCTTTTTTTCAGTCAGAGGCCCAGTACTCAACAACTGTCCTATTTCTGATACTTCAGTTTTTGTCAGAAAGATCCTGCCTTGTTTTTAACGCTGGGGTGGTGTGGGCCAGGATGGCGCTGTAGAGAGGACTGTGGGGGTGACCAGAGGTACAACACTTCCCCATCAGTTACCTCACAGCTAATCATAGCTGACCTCATTACTCATATGACTATTCTCCTTACATAGAATCTCAGTTCACTGCCGAAATATGAATCATGGCTGGGCATGTTGGTGCATGCCTGCTATCCCAGCATTCTGGGAGGCTGAGGCAGAGGGATCATAAGGAGGAGCCCTGCCTGGGCAACTTAGTGAGAGCCCATCTCAAAGTAAAAAATAAAAAGGGCTGTGGATGTAGCTCGGTGTGAGGCCCAGGCACCACAAGACCTCAGGCAGCTCGAAGGGGGAAGTGAGAGGAGGTGGTAAAAACTAGGAAGGGCTGCGCAGCTGTCCACACCCACTAACACCCACGCCCACCGGCACCCACACTGGGGTTTCCAGGAGATGCTGGCAGAGTGGTGAACACACCCACACCTGACCCAGCCACAGGAGGTCGTGGCCCAGGAGGACACATAGCTCATCAGAGTGCCTTCCTATCCCAGAAGACGAGGGTGGGGAGGGAGTGCCCGGTATGGTCTCTGGGCCTCATTCAGAGTCGGAGCTTACTGCAGGTGAAAACCCAAGGCCGGGCACAGAAGCAGCAGCTACAGCAAAGCACAGGACTCCTTGGGGTGGTGGGCTCAGACCAAGACACCCCTGAAGTGCTGACTGACCTAGCTCCTCTCTTCCCTGGCCTGCTCTTTCTCTGTCTTCTGTGCAGCCAGGTACGTCTGGGGAGTGACCCTGGCCTCTGCTACGTCCAGGTACCCTGACTCCCTTGTTACCCAGACACCATGGTCGTGTGGCTTGAGATCCACTCCCTTCCCCCACTACGGAGGGATGGCACTTCTCCTGGCCCACACTGCTCACCTGGCCTTGCATCATGCTCTGACCCACTGCCCACCTCCTGGCTCTCAGCAGCTCCCCAGTGACTCAGATACCATCAGTTCAAGTGCGGGTGGCCTGGCTGCCCCTTAGACCTGTGCGAAACCCCCAGGCTCTGGGCACACCCTCCAAGCCCAGCTGGCCTCCCCATCTGCAGGGGGCTGCATCGCCACAGTCATCGCAGATGCTGACCGACACACTGCTGACTGGTGGGCTCTTTCACCTGAGCAGCGAGTCTTGGTTTTCATCTCTCCTGTCTGATTCTGAACTACTCAATAAACAGGATTTTCAATTCAAAGACAGACTGTCCAGGGTTTAAATCTCATACACGTTTGGTAAAGATAGCATTATTTTTAGAGGCTAGACTAATTAATTCCATGTCCTCAATATATTACCTATCTCTTCTCTAAAAATACAGGGCATGGATTGAGCAGTTTCCAGGAAGCTGTCCAGGATGTGACGAGCTGACTCTAATCAGTGTTCTCTCAGCAGAACAAGCACAAGAGCCTAGTCCACTGTTACCTTTGATTTCAGGGTAGTAAAGGAAAGGCTTGGGCTCGCTTGTTTCCAAATCTGACTTCCTCCGAAGCTGGACAAACACAGAAGCAGGTTTGGTGATGTTGATGTCTTTATACTTTGGAGTTTTGAAGACAATGGCAAACTGCAGGACACAAAGACGTAGAAGGAGGTGTAGGGCTGCAGTGTTCTGGTAGAAATGCTGCACATAAACGTAGTCTTTGTATTTTAATTTACACCCAATGCTTACAGCGTGCTCCAAGAACACAGTACCCTAAGGACGTTCTCAACTCAGTACTCCATACCCATACATTTCTGGGCCACGGATGGCATGTGCAAAACTGAAACACAGCACTGTTACCATGGACCCCCAATCTCCACTGTTTCATTTGTCAACAATTCAGTCATCTTCCAGCTGTAATCATCACACATACAGAATTCACGGCACA